CCCCATCCCCACCCCACCCCACCCCATCCCACCCCACCCCACTCCACCCCACCCCAGCCCACCCCACACATTCAACTGCATTACCTGCCTTGACCCAGTCTAGGTTTGCTACTAAACAATAAGCCACGAAAACAGAAATATGTACATTGTACGGTAATTTCAATCGAAATGATAGATGATATTTTGCAGTATGCGGTCAACAACTGTAATCAAAATCAGGAAATTATATGTTGTCGTCTTTTTTTAACAAACAAAATGTAAATGAAGAAAGACGTAAAAATATCTATGTATCGATTAAACTGATAAATAGAGACACAAATGGACTAGCCTTACAAGAAAACCTACTGCACATTCGATTTTTTCCAAAATCATATTACCACCATGAAATCATCACAAAATATTCTAAATGCTAAAAAAAAAACGTTTTAAAAAAATCATTTTTACAATCATGGTCATTGAATGGTGTGGGGGAGGGGAGATGGAATGTTAGAGAGAGGGAGAGAGAGAGAGGAATATATTTTTAAAAAATTGATTGTCCCATAAACTAAACTGCAGAGACATACCTTTATTAAACCTTTCCCTTGTAGATTTAAAACGAACAAAATAGTTGCAGCAAATATCAAGAAAAACGTGTTCTATATTATATGGACACACGACGTTATTTTTAATGAGGGAGAGGTCTCCATCACTCATGTATCCGTTCTTAGTCCCGCAGTTTGCTTTTCAAGAAGTGAAGTCTTTGAATTTGACTCAGAAATATGGCCCTATTTTAAACCCAACTGATATGAGATGGTGTCAGTTTTTCCAAAATCATATTACCACAAATGAAATCATTACGTTTTTCTTGACCAATACCAATACCAGTATAAGATCTAAGGTACATGGTGTACAGTACTTTTGAATTCCATAATTGAACCTTATTTATTACCTTTATTTCATCAGCCTGCAATAACACGTGTAGTGAATATCCTGATGGAAACTTGGCATGGGATTGACGTTATTTGGACAAATATTTACAACGGGATATTGTTTCAACTTATTCAAGTAACATTTTTAGGTACCAATACACCAAAGGTAAAACAGTAAAAGTATCATTTTGGGGTAGTTATGGATCAATACACCAAACAACGGAAGTAACATGTTTGGATATTTATAGACCAATACACCCAATGGTAAAACAACGGAAGTAACATGTTTGGATATTTATTGTCCAATACACCCAATGGTAAAACAACGGAAGTAACATGCTTGGATATTTATTGACTAATACACCCAATGGTAAAACAACGGAAGTAACATGCTTGGATATTTATTGACTAATACAACAAACGGTAAAGTAATCGAAGTAACGTCTTTGGATAATTATGGACCAATAAACCAAAAGATAAAACAATGGAAGTAACATGTTTGGATATTTATAGACCAATGCACCAAAGGGTACAATTAAAGGAAGTAACAAGTCTGGATATTTATAGACCAATACACAAACGGTAAAACAATGAAAGTAACAAGTTTGTATATTTATGGACAAATACACCAAATGGTAAAGCAATATTTGTATATTTATGGACAGATACACCAAATGGTAAAGTAATGCTTATATATTTATGGACAAATACACCAAATCGTAAAGCAATGTTTGTATATTTATGGACAAATACACCAAATGGTAAAGCAATGTTTGTATATTTATGGACAAATACCCCAAAAGGTAAAAAAAATGGAAGTAACATGTTTGGGGAACCGGCCATCTTTCATCGTCGTGGTCTTAAAGTAAATATGTAAAATTGTTAGGTAAACAGAGGATCATATTGACGTACCATAAAGACAGGAAATAATACCGGTATGAGACAGCGTGTATGCTCGACGAAGGATCTACCCTCTCCAAAAAAATTATCGAGAGGCACTCTTCTTCCAGATTACAATATAATCATAGGCAACCATTTTCCCCATCTCAGAACGAATAATATTTGCATGAGTCTCTGATTTTAATTGAATATACTCTGAAAACTGTGATGATTGGTTGAGGACCGGTTGAACTGACTAAATCAAATATTAACTGGGAATGGGGAAGGGAGCTGATAACCACGGGGAGCGAGTTTGGAACAGAAATTTGCAGCATTGACCTTGTTGCTCTTACTGCTCGTAACTAACAACAATGTCTGACACCTTATATGGGGAACACAATTTTGGGTTTCTGAGCTCACAATGACTGATATTACTAAATAACAAGATATCATATGTAGGGTTACAGGATAGTTTGGTAACATACGGAGGAGCTAATATCTAGTATGAGATAAAGTAATGATTCATTTAGACCAAAATGGAGGCTTGCTGAACGGAAGTTCAAAATGCCCCCAGGCAAGACCAAGTCTCAGATTATATCAAATATCTACACGGATAAAGTCGACTTACAATACAACCGGAAATAAGACCATCCAGTCTGCTCCGTAGTTCGTCTTTGATGAGACTGATATTAGTCTAGGTTTTTGGGATGTATTTGTATGGAATTCAGCATGCTGATGGAAAGAAAGTTTACTGTCTAAATAAACCCTATAAATTTGGTCTTCACTACAAAAAAAAACTTGGATAACAGAACCGTCGAGAGGAGGTTTTAGGTTATCACAAATTATGTATAACCGGCAGAAGTAATACAAAATGTTTTAGATTATCCTGGCCATTTGTGAACCCTATTTAAGTGTATCTGCAGCTGTAGTTCAATATTATGCATACACTTCAGTATATAGCAGAACATGATTTCATTGATTTATGTCAAGCGTCTCTTCCGGATTAAGGCATAATTCGGATTATTGAAAAGGGTTCTTAAAACTACTTTGTCACTAATAACTGTTAGTGACTCGTACATGCAACCAAAATGTTTTAGATTGCGTTATTAAACATCAATGGCAAAGGGAACGCGTAACCTGGGGATCAGATTGCAAAAAAGAGGAGAGGGGGTGGAAGGTATCAGTACCAGTCGGCCAGTCTCTCTCTCTCTCTCTCTCTCTCTCTCTCTCTCTCTCTCTCTCTCTCTCTCTCTCTCTCTCTCTCTCTCTCTCTCTCTCTCTCTCTCTCTCTCTCTCTCTCGAACTCGAACTCGAACTCGAATTTTGGGGTTACTTTTAGTGCTCTCGAACCTAGAAATGTCAACAGCTTGCTGACACGATATATCATGCCTTTTTATCACAAAAACGAATACCTGTGGCAATGCTTTTGAAAAGTAATCCGCATCTTGTTGGATAAATACTCTAAAAGCTATAATTTCAGGGTGTAACTACTGCGAGATCATATTTCAGCACAGTACGAACTACCATTATGTATTACATGTTACACAATCTCTCCATTCCTTATAAAAGTACGCAAACTTGATACGAAATCTATAATCAGAAAATGTATTGCAGATACAAAATACACTGGTTATGTAAAAAAAAAAAATAATATCCTTTTACCTTTATTTAATAGCCTTAGTGAATCACATCCCCACTTTTACTTATGTAAAATTAAAAAAAAATTACTTATGAAAATTAAAATCGACGCTTGTTTATGCAATGTATTTCTGTTCAAATCTTGCCGTCTCACGAAAGTTTTTTTTTTTGACACCTAATAACAACACGATCCACTTGTATCTTTGTTAAAAGTGACACATAAAATGGAATCCATATTTCACGAATAGATTTTGTTCACATGGTTGTAATATTTACCTTTTATTCACTCTGGGCCATTTGTTTACTTCGCGTACCAAATAAACACGTCATTCATGCCCACAAACTTGATATCGTGCATGCATACACACTTTATATCGGCTATTCGTACACAATTTATTTTGTTCATGCATATACACTTTGTATAGACAATGCAAACACAATTTATATCGGCTTTGCATGCAAACTTTATATTGTCCATGCATAAACAATTTATATAGGCAGTCAATACACTCCTTACGTTGTTCATGCATACGCACTTTATTTAGGCAATGCAGACACTTTATATTGTCCATGAATACACACTTTATATAAGCAATGTATACACTCTTTACGTTGTCCATGCTTACACACTTTATATAAGCAATGCATACTCTTTACGTTGTCCATGCATACAGATTTTGTATAGACAATGCATACACACTTTAAGTTGTCCATACATACACACTTTATATAGGCAATGCATACTCTTTACTTTTTCCATGCATACAGACTTTATATAGGTAATGCACACACACACACACGCACACACACACATACACACACACACACTTTATATTGCCCACCTTGTACAATTTATATTGTCCATGCATACACACTTTATATTGTCAATGAATACATACTTTATACTGTCCAAGCATACACATTTTACATCGGCCATGCATACACACTTTGCATAGGCCATACAAACACATTTTATATTGTCCACGTTACACACTTTCTGTATGTACACTGCTTGTCCTCCTTTATGAAAGAAAACTGTCACGAAGATTTTATTTAATGTAAAATGTTTATAGATATTCGGTAGTATCAAAAGGTTTGCTTTATAACGCGTTTTCAACGGTTAATTTATCTATGTCATTCCGCCATCGTCAAATTTACATCGACAGCAGGTTACATTATTCTGAAACTTTGGAACCTGAGAAAGTAATTTTCATCCAAGATCCAAGCCTGGGACATTGCTCTGTCCGTTCCAGCTATGAGACAAGATGACAGTCTGCTGACCAGCTAGAAGTTTTGATAGTTGTTAGTTTAGATGTAACTTTATATATAATTTGATATTTTATCCAAATGTAAATGCTGTAGCTGTTTATATCATCTTATCTTGATAAAATGTTTCGCTTACATAACGACTCATTTAAAGTTTTCTCGCCATTTTGAAAAGACTCAGTCGTGGGAGTAGACTGCTTAAATCTGGCAGCATTTTTTAACTGGTTCTTCGTTTGTGTCCCTAATATAAATATTTATATAAATTAACATTTCTGTTATGTATGATTTTCAAATAATTCCAAAATGACCGCTCCGGTAGCCTATGCGGTTAGAACGTCCACATCAGATGCGGAAGGTCTCGGCTTCGAACCCCGACTGAGACGTACCAAAGACTTATAAAAATGGTACGCATCGTGCTCAACTGTAAGAGATTAATGTTAGGACTGGTGTCAGTATATATAAGTTGTGGCATAAAGCAATTTGATATGCCAATGCTAAAGGTATATCCAATTTTGATCCGCCAATGGCGCAATAATACGCATATATAAACATTCTTGTGTGCGTCTGTAGCTGGTTCTAGATCAATGATGAATTTCAACCCATGAATCATTAGTAGCTTATTAAAATAGCGATAAAAAGTATTGATAATCCTCTTTTATAAAATGAATTTAATATAGTACACTTTTTTCATTACAATCCTTTCTGCTTTCTGTTCCGGCTCCCCTCTTATGCATAGCGGACAAACTACACAAAAACCTAGAAATAAAAATTACACCAAGTAACCTACGAGAATATGGTTCGTCATGCATATTTTAAACATTTCCGAGAGAGAGAGAGAGAGAGAGAGAGAGAGAGAGAGAGAGAGAGAGAGAGAGAGAGAGAGAGAGAGAGAGAGAGAGAGAGAGAGAGAGAGAGAGAGAGGTGGTTATGGTCTGTGGTACTGTTAATAAAGCAGAAAAATGACTTAGATATAAAATATTTTAATTACCTCTTTTTAGTTTGTCATTTCGCAAAGTTTTTATCCACATTAATTTCCATGAGCCGATAGGTGAATGGCTTAGAGTTTATGTGAATGGCGGAGCTAACCATGTACTTTTAGTGCACTACTTTTATTTTAAAAACCATCTTTCAGGTTTAAATCATAATTGTGTATTATATTGGTTTAATAAATCTGAAGAAAAATAGAAACCAAAAAAAGAAAACAATCAACATATCAATATCCAAAGGTGATAGTGAATAGCCACAAAAGGCAGAGAACTACATTTTGTAGTGGACATACTCGGGGATGTGAGTCCATTCACTGGATTTGTACACAGCTGCTTGTAGTAAATCTTAACGGAGTTCAAAGGGCAAAAATATGTATTTGTATGTGATATAAATAATATATATGTACAGTGCATACGCTGTAGCGATGATATACCTCTCGTTGTATAAATATTTCACTAAAAGAAAACTCGCCATACCTCGTTTCCTTTTAATGAAAAAGATGTATACATTTCGGGGTATATAATTCACACACACATACACACACACACACACACACACACACACACACACACACACACACACATATATATATATATATATATATATATATATATATATATATATATATATATATATATATATATATATATATATATATATATATATATATATATATATATATATATATATGGTTTATATACTGTTAACAAAAAGTCGTTTCAGCATTTGTGTTTTTCACATCGGGTTTACGTCATCAATTACAAGTGACATAAATTGTTTTACTTCATTAAGAAAAGTCCTTTGAAACTTGCTTCAAGAAGACCGGATCGGCTCGTTCAAAATAACAACAACAACAAAAAAAAAACCCAACATTTTTTTTCTAACAAGTCGAGATTCTTCTCTGATCTTCCAATATTTTATTGTTTCATTGTTTTTATTGGGGGTATTTTTTAAGATCTTGATGGACATGAGACCCATTAGGATATGTACATATGTTTATACATCGCCTTGTAATTATTGAAAGGCTAATGAAGTGAGGAGAAATGAAACTTAGTGATTATATCTTAGTAGGTCATTGACGTCATAAACGCCATTGTTGCAGTCTCAAAATACTGCAATTCGAGATGATTTATCTTCGTGTCAGTACAATGGGTTATCGTAGGAAAAAACGCATCAGCGTACAAGGTGTGTTTAACTAAACATAGCTATTTGTGCACGTTTAGGTAATTTGCAGGTGTAGGTCCATTATAAATGTGAGTTTGCAGTCTCTTATACAGCGACGAATTCTAACTCTTAAACCCAGACTCAGAGATGAGTATAAATATATGATCTTATGGTCAGAGTCGGTTATCTCGAAACTTTATAAGACAAATATTGCTGATCGAACTCGAAAAACTCAAATCAGGGTTATCTCGAAACATCGTAAGACAAATATTGTTGATCGAACTAGAAACACCCAAATCAGATATTATACTTTGAATATTCCTATGAAGCAAAATTATGCATTCTTGTACAAGTACAAAACTTTTTTAAGACTGTGAAATCTATATACTTTTTACTTTATTCTAATCAAAAAGTTACAGACCGTCAAAGTTGTTTTAAAACTGATGATTTTTGTGGTCGAATTTCGTGATCGAAAAGTTTAAACATTACATAGCTTGGTCTGCCATCAGAAATCTTCATAAATATCGGCCTTGTATTTGACGCAAGATCGGACTATAAAAACAAGTATTATAGTTTTCCCATGGAAGAAAAATATCTGCAAATTGCATCCACAGTTTTCTAGAATAGGTCTAATCGTATTTCCTTCTCGTGGTGAGATAAAATCGGTTGTCTGTGTTCGAACACGTTAGTTTACTTAGTTCTAACCATAACATTTCTATGTCATCGCTGATATTAATTTTACTTAGTTTCTATCCTTTCAGACATCAACCTCAAATGGAGAGTAGGTATATTTTGTTTACTTCGATGCTGAAATTTCCTTTCAAGATTTTCAAAATCAATTTTGAGAAATTCTGTGAGAATTGAATGTGCGAAAGTTACTTCTAGTTAAAATGGGTTATAAAAGGCTAGATAAAAGGGATGATATGATCAAACTAAATGTAAGTACATATTGAAAACGGGTGTCTAGCCGTGAGTAATCCTTTGTTCAACTCTGATAGTTTTCCAGCGATTAATACAGGTGTTGTTTTAAAAATGTTTACGTTTTATATCCGGTCAATCTCACAATACGAAAGTAGCAGGTATGTCGTGAAAATCGAATAGACAAAAAGAGGCTTTTATTTGGTAATTTTCATAGGTCTGTACACCAATACAACGCGAGCTAAATAGACACAGACCTTACATTCGCTCAAGATTTTTGCAAAATGAGCCTAGACCATGACAGTCTTTTCTTTCTTTTCCTGTTGACGCGGAATTGAGCCCTATTGTCCGTTCTATCAATCTTCCTAGAAATATCCCTGTACCAAATGAACTACGTGATGATCGGGATTGATATTTGTAACACTGTCTTTAAAAGACGAATTAGTCTATCCAAGAAGATACCTCTACGTTAGTAGGCTTCATTACACTCCTTTCAATGCGCGATGATTTGTTTTTACCGAATTGGCTTGGTCTGTAATACTAATTTGAATTTCTTTTATTTGAAATTACAGAAAATCAATCATTAATACAAAATTGTATTTGTCTTTTCCTTTCTATTTATGAAAAACCAGTAAATATATATATACGAGAGATCGATCAGTTAAGACGGCTCCGTGAACATATCGATAACAAGAAGAGTTGCCACTAAAGCTGTGTGTGTGTGTGTGTTTGTATGTATATATATATATATATATATATATATATATATATATATATATATATATATATATATATATATATATATATATATATATATATATATGACCATTCAAAACAGACTGTTCCATATTAACCGCTCCTGTGTCCTAGTGGTTAGAGCGTCCGTCTCGGATGCGGGAGGTCGTGGGTTCGATACCCGGTCGAGTCATACCAAAGACTTACAAAAATGGTAATAACAGCTGCCTCGCCTGGCGATTAGCATTAAGAGGTTAGTGTTAGGACTGGTCGGCCTGGTGTCAGGATAATGTGACTGGGTGGGACATCATGCTACATGTCTGCGGCACGATGCCCCAGTGCTAGACATCACTATAAACTGCCACACTGCAGACATCATAGCGATATGACTGACAAATTGTTAAAATCATAATCACATCACATCACATCTGTTCCACATATTAATGAATTAATTCATTAAATGTTGGTAATTTACTTCTGTGTAAAATAATAATTTTATATAGATGGCATATAAGTATGCAGTAAACATTTCTTTCAAATAATGAATGAAAGGTGTTAATTTACACAGTTTTTATAATGTACATGTTATACAGTAGAAGTTTCATAGATATCGCTCTAGGCTTTTTACCCGTTACATGTGGAATTACATCTGTTTGAGAGACCATGTAATAAGGTCAACATTCACCTAGATTAGTGTTTTTGTTGGTCTGCGCTTAGTATGAATGTCCTCCTTCTATACTACTTATAACTGTGTCAATCAAATATTTTACCAAAAGGTCTATCAGTCGTATATAGAAATCGAGTTCTTTGATAGCAATGACTTTCTCAAGCTCTGGTCACAATCGGAAAAGAGGGCGAGAAGTTTGATGGATCAAAATGAAGTTATTATTCCATTTTTCCGATTCTGCGTTAAGGTCTACCTTCCTCTTTTGTTTTTCCTAGAGACCTATATCTCTTAAGAAATGCCTAGTAAAAGACTTACATTTATCTTCACATTACTTTGCATGTTTATTTCGAGCCGTGTTTCTTCGTGCTCTACTTTCTAATTGTTCCAATAAAGTGCTCCTCATACCGACATTAACATGTTGCAACAGTGAAAATACCAGTATTTTTGTAAATTAAAATGATTTTAGAATTTTATAACATTCCCATAAGGAGTTGCCCATGACTCCGACCCAGAGGACTTAGGCTTCCGAGTTATTAGAAAACTTTAAAAGTGCTTCATCAGCCCGGAAAGTTTATCTAATATATTGTCGTTAATTAATCCTCCTCCAGCTAGTTTTGCAACAGAAGCACATCCGCAGTAGGTATGTGCATCACAACAAAATTAACCCCTTCACAATTACAGTAGTTGTGTACATCATAACATGTCTACTTGACAAACTATAACTTACGGGAATAGAAAGCTGATTTTATATATTACATTTTCAAAACACTGTATACATAAACAATCACAGCTCCTTAAGCCCTATCTTCGTAAACTATAAATAAAATGTTATGGTATGTTATTAGATATTACATTTTGCACAAAAATTAGTAACGCGCGAAATGTGCAGTCTGCTTTGTTTTTAAGCCTTTT